GAGTAGCCAGAGACCACTGTCCATACAGTGGAATAGTATTCAGCCTTAAAAAGGACGGAAATGATTCTGACCTGTGCTCCTGGAAGACACTGTGCTGAATGAAGTAAGCCAGTCACCAAGGACTCACGTTGCAGGATTCCACTTCCACGAGGTCCCTAGGGTGGTCAGACGCACAGAGACGATCTAGGAATGGTGGGTGCCAGGGGCAGGTGAAGGCAGGACTAGGTCAGGGTTGATGGGGCAGAGGTTCAGGTTGGGAGGATGGATGGGGTGATGGCTGATAATGCCATGGCCGCACTGGATGCCACTGCACCGTGCACATGGTGGCGAGACCAGCAAGTGGCGTAATGGCTACGTCGCTGGACTCCCATGTAGTCAACTGTGGTTCGAGTCCCGGACTGGGATGCTTAAACTCACGTCAGGGACGTGTGCGTGCTCAAGATCCCAAGAGGAAAATGGAGAAGGGATTGCAGCATGGCCATGGACCCTGAGGGGTGATTTCTTACTTTCTGTCTCTTTGTCTCCGTCTTTCTGGTGAGCACACATGCCCTATAGCAAAAACTTCTCTTTAAAAAAAAGAAAAAGCTAAGGTAGTTACCAAAAAAGCCCGATTCGAGGATGGAGGTGAGAGAAGTTGGGGCCATGAGGTTTCAGGAAGTGGCAAGTCCAAGGAATGAGGCAGAAACTAGTCTGGAAGCAGGGCTCTGGGGGGTTCCCAGCCCCTGTGCAGAGACCCCAGACCCAAGTGGGGGAAGGGGTCCATGGGGCGGAGTCCCACAGTGGGGAGAAGGCTGCCGTGAGCAACTCCCAAGACTCCCAACTAAGGTCTTGGCAACAGGGAGCCAAGACCAGGTGCAGGTCACAGGTCAAGGGACCCCACACCCCCCCAGTATAACAGCTACACTGACAACATGGATGCAGACTGGGGGGAGCTAGGATGGGGACATGGCAGGAAGGGGAACAGAGCTCTGAGCACGTAGGCAGGGGAGGGCGTCAGGGCACGTGGAGCAGAGAAAGGAAGGTGACAGCAGGACCCAGAAGGCCGTGGGGTCTGAACCTTGGGGACTAACTCAGAGCTCTGGGCACATCTGAAAGCAGGGAGCCATGCAAGGAGACCACACACAGAAGCCCCAGCCCAGGTCAGAGCTGCGTGTGCAGCCCAGCAGCCATGCTGGCTGAGAACACAGAACAAGCCAGCCCCATCCCTCTCGTCTGTCTGTCCTCCAGCTGAAGAGAGGTTTCCACTGGACAGGGAGGCTGCTCCACACCACAGCGAGGGCAACTTCTAGGTGAGGGCTGAGCTGGGGGAGAGTGGGCGATGTGGCCTACAGAAAGCCTGGGTCACTGTCCAGCAGACGATGCTGGGCAGACCTGGTGTTTTACCCCGAGGGTACCCACTCAGGAGAGGCAGTGGGCTCCCTGAAGAGCCGTGGTCCTCCCAGGACAGGAAGTAAGGGCCCACCTCGCACAGCTGAGCACACCAGCAGCACCAGGGCCGGGGAAGGCTGGGGGATTTCTGGACCCACAACCCCAGTCCAAGCAGCCCAGACCACAGGTGGAGGCAGCCCAGTGTACCCTCGGGAGATGAGAAGCACTGCCCAGCCCAATGGGGAAGTGTGAAGGCCTCACCTGCCACCTGCCCCCCTAAGCCTGGGTGGGGACCAGCTAGCCACCACCACCCACACTCACACACCCTGCATCCTGTCTCTGACCCTGTCTCTGCCCCTTCCCAGCCTGGGGAGGCAGCAGACTCAGGTGGGGCTCCCCAGCCTCCTGCCAAGGACCCCACAGGTCCTCTCAGAACTCCTCCGTTGCTGTCCAGACCACTCGGACCCAGAAGCCCTCAGTGGCCATCAGCGCAGGGACCCTGCCCTGTACTGTCATCTCTGAGCACCAGGGTCAAAGGTAACTACTGAGGTCAAAGGTAACTACTGGGGTCGAAGGTAACTATTGGGCTTCTGCTACAGCACCGGTACCTGTCCCCACAGACTCAACCCAAAACACGACTTCCCAGGGGACAGTCTGACGATTGTCGGTGCAGGGCTCCCATTCCAGCCCCAGGACCTGCCTCCTGGTTCTGAGGCTCTTCATACCTATACTCCCCCCATGGACCAGCTGGTGGCTCTGGAGAGACAGGTGACACTTTCGGGTGCTACTGGGACCCCAAAGGCCTTTCAGTAGCCATCAGAGGCTCCTTTGCATCTCAGGGACAGCTGGCTCCTGTCTTACGCAAGGTCGCACACAAAGGCTCCATGACAGTCCTCGTGTGCCCAGACACAGGCCCAGCCATGTTCCTTTGGGTCTCAGCTCAGAGACTGCTGATGACAAAAGGTGGCACCTTTGTACCCAGGTCCCCTCAGCACCTTAAACTTTCTAGTTCCCCTTTAAATTCCCCAGTGGTTAAGAATCACTAATAGGAGCCGGCAGGGAGTGTGGTGGTTAAGGGAGCTGGACTTCCACATGGCCAACTGCAGTTGGAGTCCTGGACCTGGTGGCTTGCTTTCTCACTTTCCCTCTCTCTCTCACACTCTGCCCCTCTCTGATCAAATTTAAATAAATAAAGCTAAATCAAATAATTGCTTTAAAAAATAAAGATCCACTGACAGATAAGACTATTCTAGAACAAAGCATAAGAGGCTCTTCGTATTTTTTTTTTTTTTTTGGAGAGATTTTTGCTGTAGGGTGCGTGCGCTCGCCAGAAAGAGAGAGACAGACAGAAAGCGAGAAATCACCCTCCAGGGGGGATGGCCGCGCTGTAATCCCTTCTCCTCCATTCTCCTCTCGGGATCTTGGGCACACACGCACACATGCCCGGCATGAGTTTAAGCCACTGGGTCCAAGACTCAAACCAAGTTCAACTACATGGGAGTCCAGCTACATAGCCATTACGCCAACTGCTGGTCCCAGAGGCTCTTCGTTTTAACACACTATGCTGGCTGAACATGTCCCCTCCTGGGAGGATTTCTGCCTGTTTCCTCAGGAGCCCATCCCTATGCTAACAAGATCCTGAACTGCGCTCCAGAAATATCAGGGCCCCTCCAGCTAATGTCTCGAGTTTTACAGAAAAAAGAATTATTTGATGTTAATTAGAAAGGAAACCATTGGGATCAGCAGATAGCATAGTGGTTACACTGCTGGACTCCCACATGGACAATTGCAGTTCAAGTCCCAAACCCACTGGCTTGAAAATCATGTTGGCATAATGGCTATGTCACTGGACTCCCATGTAGTCGACCATGGTTCAAGTCCCAGACCCAGTGGCTTAAACTCACGCTGGGTCTATGTGCGCAAGCATGCCCAAGATCCCAAGAGGAGAATGAAGAAGGGATTGCAGCGTCATTCCCCCTGGGGGTGATTTCTCACTTTCTGTCTCTCTGTCTCTCTCTTTCTGGTGAGCACACACGCCCTAAAGCAAAAACCACTCAAAAAAAAAAAAAAAAAAAAAAGAAAGAAAGAAAGAAAGAAAATCACGCTGGGCATGTGTGGGCATGTGTGTGTGCGTGCCCAAGATCCCAGGAGGATAACGGATTGTGGTGTGGCCATTCCCTCTGGAGGAGGAATCCTCACTTTTCTTCTGTCTGTCTCTCTCTCTCTGGCAAGCACAGCATTCTAAGACAAAAACCTCTCTTAAAAAAAAAAGGAAAAGAAAGAAAAGGGAAAAGAAATCATTATGGTCACTTCAGAATTGTGTAAAATAGGGCCAGCGGGTCGTGTGGCATTAAGGCAGCTGGTTCCCACGTGGCTGACTGCATGGTTTAAGTCCCAGACTCGGCAGCTTGAAAAGCGTGCTGGGCAGGTGTGTATGTGTGCCCAAAATCTCAAGAGAAGAATGGAGGAGAGAAGGGATTGCAGCATGGCCATCACCCCTGGGGGTGATCTCGCACTCACTCTCTCTCCTTGATGAGTGCATACATCCTATAGCAAACTGAACTGAAAAAAAAAAAAAAAGAATTGAACAAATAAAGTTGTCAGGAAAGTCCGCGTATGGCATGGTGGTCACAGTGGCTAGATCCCACATGGCTGACCATGGGGCTCGAGTCCTGGACCCAATTGTTTGAAAAACATGCCAGGCACGTGCATATGCATGCCCAGCATCCCAAGAGGAGGGAGAGAAGAAGAGACTGGCGTGACCACTTCCCAGGGAGAGTGCTTTCTCACCTGCTCTTTTTCTCTTTCTCTCTCTCGAGCCACCCCACCCCACCCCCACCTCCAGCCAGCACACCAAAAAGTGTCAGGAAGTCTGGTGCCACTGATCACCTATACAAGTGGGCACCCAAGGGCAGGGCCAGGGGAGGCGACCTCCAGTGCTAAGGGCATTAACCCCGAATCCCACTTCACAGAGGAAGGGCAGGAGCACCTGCCCAGCCAGCCCTCAGGAAGGCCAATGCACAACACGTCACTTATCACTTCCCACCTTCGCCTCGTCTGACCTGCAGCCCAAACCAGTTAAGAAGCATCCATCAATGCCAATGACCTTTCACAAAAGTTTTTGAGGGGGAATAATTTTTTAAAAATCAAGAGGTACAGCCTCACAGCTCAGCAGTGGGGTGCTGTGCAGAGGAAGCCAGACCCCACATGACCAAGCAGGGTTTAAATCCCAGCCCAGCCACCTGAAAAACACACCAGGCAGGCACATGCCTAGGATCCCGACATGGAGAAATGGAGGAAAAAGGATTACTGCATGACCAGGCCCTGTAGCAGAGCATTCGCTCTCTCCCCCTCCTTCCTTCTTGCTCTCATCCATACACACATGCACACACCCTACAGCATAAAAAAAATTAAAACAAAAAACAACAAAAAAAAACCTCCAGTGATTACTGTTTTCCATACCACAAACTCTTTATCTTTAGTAGAAATCCCTGTCGTTTGATTGAATCACAGGAATAGAAGGTAGGAAATCCGTGCTGTCCAGTGCTAAGCCAGGGCCAGCCTGTGTGAGGCCCAGCCAGGCCCACTTGAAACCACGGGAGTGAAAATTAATCAGAGGTCACACGTGCAGAGCAAATGCTTTTTATTGATTTTACAGAAGTGCCGACTGGTACTGCCATGAGGACCCCCTCCAGGACGGTGTCTCCGAGAGCAAAGGCTCTCGGCCACAGAAGGCACAGGCCCGTGGCAGGAGCTCGAACTCAGCCCTGTTGCAAACGGCAGCGCTGGGCTGGAAAACCAGGAGCCACAAACTAGCATTTCTCCAGCCCAAGAGGGCAGAACCCAAGGGTACAAGATGCCCACGGACACAGGCCCTGGGCCTGTGACCCTCTCCGGAGGGAGCGGTGGCCCTCCGGGCCCTGGAGGGGCCCAGACCCCCGTACCCGAGGTTTCCTAGCAACTAAGCCACGCAAGGCGCTCTTCACAGAAGGCTCTTTACAAAAGGAGCATGAGCCCGCGCTGGAATCTTTGTGCAGACTCATGTTTAATAGAATGCCCTTCTAAAATTCATTTCAAAATAGATGCTTTCTCCAGAACTGTAAAAGCCATAAAAATGCAAAATACTTCTTTAGGAAAAATTGAATCAAAATTACGCTTCAATGTTCAAAATACCACGCCACCTGTGTCCTGTCTGTGCATGAGAGCAGACGCAGGCACAGCCCCTCAGACCTGGTCAGGGCTGCCTGAGAGTCAGTTGTCCTCAATCTGTTCCAGATCCAGGTCACCACAGTCCAAGGGGAAGATGCCCTCCTCCCCAGCACTGTCCCAGTCACTGGGGTCCCCACTGCTCCCACCTTCACCATCGGCAGTCACCCGTTCCCTGGACGCCCACGGGCTGGGGCTGGGGCTGGCTGTGCAGGGCTTAGCCTGCACACCCCTAGGACTGGAGCTGGGCAAGCCGATGCCCACAAAGCCCTGTGAGTCGCACGGGGAGGACACAACTGTCTTCACTTGGGTGTCTTCCTCATCGTCATCTTCGTAATCGAGGGAGCAAAGGCTTTTTGAATTTTTTAAAGTCTGCAACAGAAAAGACACAGGCTTAAAGCATTTCCAGTAGGTTGCTGCAAGGCAGCCTCACGGGCCCACACACACACAGTACCCTGTGTGCTCAGTGTCTAGTCTGACCCCATGGCCAGTTCACATAAACACTACCTCCTTGGTCCCTTGGACACTGGCCACAGGCCCTCAGGAGCTGCCTTGCTGGGTCCCTGTGTCCCCCTGCCCTGGCCTGAGCCAGCAGGCTAACAAAGCCCTGCAGCTGGAGGAGACGGACAGCCCCACCCTGCCCAGATCACATGCTCGGGTTCAGGAGAGCCTGACACCAACCACGCCCTGGGTTGCTCAGGACACCCAAGTATGAGAGCTGTGTCCTGAGCCTTGGTCTTGGGCTCAGCAAATGGACTGATCAGGGAGGGCCCTGTGCACCCTCCACTTTAACAATGGCCACCACACATACCTGGATTCGTGGGGATTCTACATGCCTTTAGTGGTCAGATTTCTTAAACCTCCAACCACGACTGCTATGGTTCAAATTTGGTTTGGTCCCACCAAAACTCACACTAGGGCTTGGTCCCAGGCGGCAGTGCTAGGAGAGGGCTGGTCAGGTCACGAGGACTTCACTCTCATGAACAGATTAAGTTTTTCTGGCTGGGTTAGTTCTCTGGAGACTGGATTAGATCTCACAGAAATGGATTAGTTCTCACAAGAATAAGTTGTCATAAAGGCTTGTTTGGCTTCCTCTGCTTTCTCGTGCTTCCTTTCAAAACCTTTCACCGCTTTAGGATGTAGCATGAGGCTGATCTGATGTGGCCGCCTAATCTTGAACTTCCCAGCCACCAGAACCAACCATGAGCCAAAATAAACATCTTTTCCTTATAAATTACCCAGTCTCAGGTATTGTTTTGGCAAGAGAACACGAACTAAGAGAATGATGCTTTTGTTTGGCGCCACAGTACAGAAGTCAGCTGCATGGACCAACCACTCCTACCCGACAGACAGTGAAAACCACCCAGTCCTCTGCCATGGACAGGACTTGCATTCAGACTGTAATTATGCAGCTCAAGAATGAAAACAGCAGCCTTCTTTACAACCTCCAACCTGTGTAACTTGTGAAGGAGAAACAACGGTTGCTAAGTAAAAAACGGCACCTGCAGAGGAGCTCAGAACCTAACACACTCCTAACGGTCCCACACATAGCCAAGGGGGTGGGGTGTCACTCATATGCCACCTCACACACCTTGTACCACGAAAAGCTACAGATCGTAGTGATGAAACCGAAGCTCAGACCGACGAGGCACCAGTCTGATCTGGGATGGTGCTTTACTGCCAAATGAACCCTGCCCTGGACATCAGCCCAGGGCTCAGTACTGGCTTCTGCTACCTTCCTTCTTGCCAAGGAGTCAGCAGGTGGTGTGGTGGTTAAGGCACTGGACTCCCTCATGGTCGACAGCAGTTTGAGTCCTGGGCCTGGCAGCTTGCTTTCTCACTTTGTCTTTTTCTCTCTCTCCAGTCAACGTTAGAAATAATAAATAAAATAAAATAATTCTTAAAAAAAAAAAATAGACACGACCAGCAGTTGGCATAATGGCTATGTCACTGGACTCCCACGTAGTCAACCGCGGTTCGAGTCCAAGGACCCGGTGGCTTAAACTCACACCAGGCGTGTGTGCATACATGCCCAAGATCCCCAGAGGAGAATGGAGGAAAAGGGATTGCGACCTGGCCATCACCCATGGGGAGTGATTTCTCACTTTTTGTCTCTGTTTCTCTCTTTTTGGTGAGTGCATGCGCCCTATAGCAAAAACCTCTCCAAACAAAAAAAGGGGGGGGGCAAGTCTTCAGCTCTAAATCAGGGGCTATAAACTTCAGAAGGGCTTTCAAATTACATAAAACAATTCAGTCTGTAGAGGTGTACTAGTTTTCAGAGACAGGCCCTGACTTACAGCTGGGTAAGCCTCCAGCTCCTGAAGCCAAGTGCACTCAGCTACAATTAAGCGTGTAACATTCTGGAAGGAAAGCTGAAACACTTCCATGGGCCATCTGGAAGCTGCTTCAAGGAGTGAGCACGCAGGGCCCAGCTTCAGCCACCTGCCACAGCTGCTCTTAGCCACTTGCTAAGGCGTCTGGCTTTGATCAAACTGCGACTCAGATCTGCTCTCCTAAGGAAACATGACCCCCACCCACTGAGAGGGAAGGGCTCCATTATGGAAACATGACCCCCACCCACTGAGAGGGTGGGGCTCCCCTCGCGGGCCTGCTCCAGACCAAAGCTGACTTTGGCCCAGCAGCCACTCCCCAGGCCAAAGCTGAGCAGGAGCTGGGGGCAGGGGCACTGGGGGCTCGCCATCCACCATGAGTGCCTGGAGCCCAATCCAGGCTACAGGTGTGGAAAAGAAAGACCAGCAGACAACTGGGCAAAGTCAAGGCAGCATTCCTCACCCAGAGAAAGGCCAGCCTGTTCTGACAGAGGCCCAAAGGACTCCAGAGTGTCCACACCATAACAGACAGAAATAGCCAGAAGTGAGGCATGTGCGTGTGCAGGCCCATGTATGAGCACACTGGGTGAAGGCAGAGACAGTGTGAAAAGTGTGTGAGCCCCAGGACTACTCCTGCAACCTCACACAGAGGGGAGGTTTCCTCTCAGGAAAGAATACACTGGAGGGTTTCCAAACTAGGGCAGGATAGGGCAGGGTGGAAGAGGTTAGGGGGCACATGGAAAGCAGGCTGGGGGATCATCTGCACCCTGAATGCAGAGCCCCAGGCCCTTCCATGCAAGGAACTACAGAAGGTTGCTCGAAGAACTCTGACCCCAAAGGAAACTCTTAGAGATGCCAACACAGGGTTCCCCAACTCCCAGTACGCCCAGACCACACTATAGAGAACTCAGGGCAAGGGCCACCTCACATGCACAGTGCCACCAGCTCACGTCTCCTCCTTACCTCCAACACAAGCAGATGGCAAATGCTGCCCGCATCCCGGGAAAGCATGTTACCTGAAGGACAGAGAGGAGAGCAGACCACGAGAGGGGAGTAGCAGAGGAAAAGCCTATGCAGAAAAAAGAAACACCTTCCCCCAGAACGCAACATAGAACACCTCAGAAGTAAGACACTCAATCCCTCAAACAGGAAAGACAAAAAGAAAACAGAAGCAAGAAAGAAAATGAGAGGACCAGCCATGGAGGCCCAATGCCTGAACAACTGGGGTGACAGGAAGAACCACACCCAGCGGGAAGCAGGGCCGGGTGGAGGGCGGTGGAGGTGGGGGACACAAAGCCGTGGGAAAATGTAGAGAAGTCATCTGCAAAATAAATCAGGGAACACTCTCAGGCCCAAGGACATGGTCTTCAGAATAAAAGGACCCCAGAAACTCAGAGCCATTGACGAGAAGGACACACGCCCAGGCATATGGTCGTGAGATCCTAGAACAGGGAAGACTACGCCTTGCAGAGAGAACGACCAGGGCCAGAATGGTTTCCGCTCACCAGCATGCGGGGCGTGGAGGCAAGGAGCGGCAACTTCCAGTCAGAAGGAAACCAGTTCCCAAGCCGATGTGCTGTACCCAGCCATCTCCTAGAGAACAGACAGGCAAGTCTCCAGAACCTGGCTCCCAGGCACCTTTCTTAAGAGGCTAGTCCAAAAGAGACGGTAACTAGGGCGGGCAACACCCTTGATCTAGAAGGAGACCAGACGGCAGCCCCACGCCAGCAGAGGTGACAAGGAGGGGGCACTGCAGCCGACCCAGTCCCTGTGGGGCAGGAGCCAGATTGCTTCTCACTCAGGTCTGCCGTCTGGTCCCACCTGGCTCACGACCTCTCTGGGGACACTCCTTCCTCAGGCCACGGAGGGCCTACAGCACCCACTCGCCATTTCCCTCCTGCTCCTGCCCCAGGGCCACCACACACCCAGAGGCCTCGGCTGTGCGGAGCACCCCTGCGCCTGACCTGTAGGACCACAGCACCAAGGTGACCCTGGTACATGGGACACTGCTCATGTGACCCCAGGTTCACACATGACCCTGTATGATCCTGTTTACACATGTGATCCCAGGACATGGGACACCTGCTCATGTGACCCCAGACCCACACATGACCCTGTACGACCCTGGTACATATGTTACTCTAGCACCAAGTATGACCCCCATGCATGTGACTGGCACATGTGACCCGAGTATGTGTGACTCCAGCACCCACAGTGAAACCGTGTGACCCTGATATGCATGTGATGTCAGCACTGTGACTCTGTGTGACCCTGGCACCCATGTGCCTTTGGCGTATGTGACCCCAGCACTGACCTTCTCATTGCAGAGGCCAGAGGAGGACCCTAACAGCACAGGGTAACAATGACGGCAGGCCTCCGCACAGCAGGGTGCCTTTGTCACAGTCCTAGACTCCTCGCCCTTTCGCATTTATGTAAATGCAACAAATAAAATAACTATAATAATGGGGGGAAGTCAGAGTAGGTCTTTTCCTTCCCTTTTTCTAGCAGGCGCATGCACTTACCAGAGGGAGACAGAGAACAAAGGAGAGGAGAAAGCGCTCCCCTGAGGTGAGGAATGGTTACACCATAATTCTTTCTCCTCTGCCTCTCTCTTGGGATTTTGGGCATGTACACACACACGCTCCCAGCATGGAGGTGACAAGGAGGGGGCACTGCAGCCGACCCAGTCCCTGTGGGGCAGGAGCCAGATTGCTTCTCACTCAGGTCTGCCGTCTGGTCCCACCTGGCTCACGACCTCTCTGGGGACACTCCTTCCTCAGGCCACGGAGGGCCTACAGCACCCACTCGCCATTTCCCTCCTGCTCCTGCCCCAGGGCCACCACACACCCAGAGGCCTCGGCTGTGCGGAGCACCCCTGCGCCTGACCTGTAGGACCACAGCACCAAGGTGACCCTGGTACATGGGACACTGCTCATGTGACCCCAGGTTCACACATGACCCTGTATGATCCTGTTTACACATGTGATCCCAGGACATGGGACACCTGCTCATGTGACCCCAGACCCACACATGACCCTGTAC